ACTGGAAGTTTTAAAGAAGTAAGCTACCTAGTTCTCAGGTTTCCTTGTGTCTAAACTTTATCATTATTTCATGTATTTTCTCCCATCCTCGGTCTTTTAAAAATCCTCTATGTATGCTCTTTATGCCACCAGCTCTGTTCTATGCAGCACTCTCTTAAAAAGAGGAATGCTGACAGTCTGAGGTTGATTCACCTTTCTGTTCATTTTTGTACACAATGGGTCAAATCCAATGTGAGGTGCCAACTTGAAGCTCACCTGCCATGGTACAGCATTTCTCATGCTGCCACGTAGGTGAATGTTTGGGCTGCCTGTGGAGGGTTTTTGAATAAGAAGGTTTGAACACGCATCTTGCATTTGAATGTGTTCTGTAAAAGTGCATCACAGTGCTGGTGCTGTAGCTGTGCTGTGGTCATGCAAATAAAGAAGAAAATAAATGGAAAAGCAGTATTACAAAATATACTTAAACCTACTGTGAGCCTTGCAGAGGATGCAGTACAAACTGTCTTGAGTCCTCCAGCTGAGGAGTCTGATAAAATTCAACATCCAAAAACCAGGAATTGAGAAAATTGTTTTTGTCTTTGAAGGAATAGCTTCTGATAAAAGACAGCAGGAACAGTGCAAAAGGAAATGCTTTCCTGACGTTTTTATTTGAATCAGTAAAGCAGCTCAAAACCCGGGGATTATTTGTAGAGTGGTTAATCTTTCTCAAAGCCAATCTGTGAGGGTATAAGAAAAGAAAACAAACCCCTTCAATAGTCCTAGGAAACACAGGCAGTTTGGTTCATGACCAGGAGTTTGTTGGTGCTTTGGTTGTTTGTTTTCAGAAATAGCATCAGTCCTACATTTCCAAATTCTCTATGATTTCCCTGAGGACTTTTTCCTTGTGTCTCTGGTGTACTGACCAAGCACTACGTTTCAGGGGGCAGTTGCACATGGCCAACAACCATCTCCCCTGGTGATCAGAAACTTATATTGTACAGCCTATCTTAAAATTCTAATTTAAGTGTTATAATAATTAGATTTACATAAAAAACAATATGAATAATATCTCTAGAAACAATGCCTTTGAGGATTTTGTTGTCTCGTACAACTTGTTTGTGGGGTGAACTGCCTGGAGTGAGTAGCTGGCAGTTGAGTATTTCTGATAATCAGCTATGCATATACAGAGTGTTTAAAATTCACTGTACATAAATATAAAACATTTTCTCTGCTTTAGTACTGTTGATGATAATTTTAAGGAACTGTCATATTTGAATCATCAGGAGATGCAGATCTGTGCAGCTTTTCAAAGCAGTGAGGTACTCTTGAAACAAGTAGCCCTCATCTAAACATCTCCATTAACTACTGGCCTGTAACCTCACTTTCTCTGAGTCTGGATTTTTAATAAGGTGTGCTTTTAAAGTCATCTGTCCTGAGAAGATTTGCAGTTGAACGGGCAGGTTGTCATGTAGTTACATGACAATGTTACACATTGTCACAGACAATGTAACAATGTAACATGGTTACATGCAATGTTACACTGGGCAAGTGACTATGTAAAGCGGTGAAGTTCTTCAGAAGTATGCAGGAAAAAAAACTGGTGGCCAGTTCCTTCTCTTGTGGGGGAAAGTAGGGTGTGATAAAGACACTGATCAAATTGAAAATTGTGCTCTTGGTGAGAGATCTAGTGTTTCTCTTTGATGTAGCCAGATTTGTGGACCTTCAATTCACATTCCTCTCATTTCAGCGATAGGGTGTTAAATGCATCCAAACGATGAAGAAAAACTTAGGGCAAAAATGTGGCTCCTAATGCAGATTCATCAGTGTAGTGATGGGATGTATGTCCGGGCATGGCTAGGAATCCTCCTTGGCTGTGGTGGGTAGGCAAGGCACTGTGTACACTGTTTGTGGAGATGCAATTTGAAGCACAGCTGTAAATTGTTTTCTTGCAGCCCTGTATATTTATGTGAGTCTGGCAAGGAAAACAGGTGCTGTATGTATTTTATTCTGTTGTGTGACAAATAGCTAGTTTTCCTCAGTGTTTGCATATACCTCTTTCATTCTCCAGAGTCCTCTTCTGTTTTTCTCTTTAGAATGCCTTTACAGAGATGTGCTGTGATGATCCTGAGCTTCATCGCAGCCCTTGTTCATACACTTACAGTTTCCAACTGAGGCCCTGATCCTGCAATATGAATACAGTGATACTTTGTGAGGAACCTCAGGAGTGGATCAGGTCTTTATTTTTCTAGCAATAGTAACTCAGCTTTCTCAGACATTAAAGAACAGGCTATAGTCCCTTTGAAAATTTTTATGGATGCATTTCATCTTGGAAACGTGCCACCAATGTCTGTCTATTGCTTTGTGATATAGTTCTGACTCCTGAGACATGTTCTTGCTGAAATACTTCCAAAATAAAACTCTTGCTGTCTCAGCTATATTTGGATGAACAGTGGGATGAGTTACGGTTTATCAGATCGGCTTTCAGGACTTGCTCTCTAGTGAGGCCCTGAGGTTTCAGAGAATGGAAAGTCTGTACAGGTCTTTTACAGCTTTTTCCATCCCTTCTACCCAGACCACCTTTTCTTTAACATAAAACCACAGTGTTCTGCTTCCCTGGGCAACTCATTCTTTCTGTCTCTCCAGTCCTTCAGCTTACATAAAAGGAATCCCTTTTAAATGCCCATTCCAGGTCAGATTTATGCTACCAGGTATCATTGATTTTGATAAATATTTTTATTTGGTAGTGCTGGAAAGCCAGCAATCAATATATTTTTGTCTCTTTTTGTGAGGTATGTCTGCATTTTGATGGGTTGAAAGTAGTGTAGTGGCACAGTGCCTTGAAATATTTCAGCTCTTTTTGAGGTAAAATTTCTTTCACAATTTGTTCTTCACATCAAAAAGTGGGTATTTATACTTTTCATCTGAGTCCTTATTCAGAAATTGTCATATAAGTTGCTTTAGTATTAGACGTATTTATACAATTTTCTTTGTTAGACAAAATCCTTAATTGCATGCATTTCTTGGTTTGGGCATAGCTCCATGAATTGCTTTAGAATGTTTTTTTTTAGCAAGATTATTAAGAACTGAAAGTAGCCATCCTCTGCAGTACAATTGTGTTGGTATTTCCTTCTTTATTTCTGTGGGCAAGGTAAAGCAGAACCCAGCCTAGTATGTGCAGTGCTTGCTGGTCACTGCTTTTGGGTTCTGTTTTCTTGAGGCTTTCAGCACATTTTAGTCATGCACAGCGCACTGTCTCATTGACTTCAAGTCCATTTGATGCACAGTTAAACGTGTGTAAATTTCAGTAACCACTGGTGTATGGAGCTCTACAACCACACTGCAAAGATACTTTGTAACAAATAATTAAAAAAAAAAAAGAAAAACAAGCTGAAGGCAAAAGGAAAATTTTCAGTTCCAAATGTGAAGAAAAAGCATTGGTTTTATTTCCGCTGTCATTAAAAAAAGATAATAGGTTAAGTATGTATAAGAAAGTAGACAGGAGTTATTTTAGGGTGTTCTTTATTTCCCTATTGGTTCAGATGCTATAATAATATTATTAACAACAAACTAGATCCAGGTCTCATTAAATTAATACTACAGAAAGATAATGAGAAAATTGCCAAGTAATGAGAAAAAAACCAGAAGGCTTAAAACTTATTAAATAATTGTGGCTGGTGAGCAGTCTTTGTAGTCAAAGCGCCTGGGTCTGAAAAATGACCCTGATAGTTTGCCAGCAGACATTATCTGGTAATTTGTGTTAAACTCAATTTTTGTAGAAGGAAGAGTGCAAAGCAGAATGTGACCTCAGTGGAGCAGGAGGGATCACTTAAAACTCGTCTAGCTGAATCTACTCATAGGTATAAGAGCTTTGGAAAATGCATCAAAAGCTTTAAAGAAATAAATGAGTAAAATAATTGCCTCTTACAATATAAACAAACAATAAAATACATGTAAGCAATGAATGCAAGAAGGACATGTATGATTTTGTAGGTAGTCAGAGATTTATGCTCCAATAAAAGATGAAAGTGTGTAATGGATGAAATATGACCGTTCTATGAGGAGAGAGAATAATTAAAAGTAAAGAAGTGCACCTTCCAGTGGAAAAATGTTTGCATTCGAGGGCTGTGTTCTTCCTTGTGCCGAGTTCCATCACGTGGCCCAACTTTGGGTTCATTTCTTCACTGTCAGAGATTTTTAGTTGAGGTTGAAGAGAGTACGAAAAAGAAGAAAAAGACAAAACATGTTTATGCTCTGGGGAGTTTCACAAATAATTGAACAAACTTCTATTTGTGTAGTGCTTTCAAGTATGACTTTTCTAACATAAATTACAATTACAGGAATCTTTGATTGCTGTACAGTTATTACTGAAAGGGGCATCTGGAAAATGTCTTCCATTAGCTGTGCTTTTTGGCAGAGGTTATAAGCAAGCATGGTCAGTGTAATTAAGCTGACAAGTGTTTAAGATACTGTGTTTGTTTACTGCATGTACTCTCCTTCAATAAATATTAGTATGTCTTCTAAATCCTCTACTCTAGCTGGTGACCTTGACAACATTTAAACTGTAGTATAGCATGTAACACAGCTATATGAGGGGCCAGGCAGTTAGCACATCGCTGTTGGCGATAGTCACGTGCAATACATGAGCAGCAACAAATCTCTTTGGGAAAGCTCAGACTGGTAGAGAAGGCAAAATACCTGGACCTCAGTGATTTTTCCCAAGTAAGCTATAAAATTCCTTTGGAGAAAGTCAGCCTGGGGCCCTAAACTTGCAACGCTTACAAAATTTTCTAGGTTTTTGGTGTGAATGTTTTCTTCCTTTTTGTTAAGCATAAAAATAGGATTTGTGAGAATAAGGCACCCGAGAATCAGTTTTACTGTAGAATTTGGGTACATGCTGGACAGTGATCTCTTGATCAGGTGAAATTTAGCAAGAGTTAAGACTGAGCGGCAGCTTTCTAACTCACTTTATTTGATGTCAAGTTTGCAGTGCTTTTTTTAACTTCATTTACTGTTTTATTTAGACACCTCTTTATGTTGTAAACCATGGTGAGACCGGACCAATCCGATGTAACAGGTGCAAGGCTTATATGTGTCCTTTCATGCAGTTTATTGAAGGTGGTAGAAGATATCAGTGTGGCTTTTGCAATTGTATAAATGAAGGTAAGTGATGTTTCTCTGATCTGTGATTCCTGTAAGTCCAGTAAAACTAAAAAGGAACCATATATCTGAAGTGATTTTCTTGACTTGCCGTCATGAAACTGCAGTAAGGAGGCCTATTTCTCAATATCAAAACAAAGCAAAAAACACTTTAAAAAAATTAGAAGCACTTTTTCAATCCAATTTTTAAAAATTTATAAAAAACCACAATGCTGAATTCTGAAGTCCAGTGTGATGTGATCAAAATTTATTTTAAAATACTATATCAACATAGGATACAAGCTGTCTGTATTGCTATCCCAAAGCAACTTTTGTGTAGAAAAATTAAGAAATGTAGATGTTCAGAAAAGACCAAATATTTAGAAGCATGTTAGACTGTCCATGGCTGCGGATGCAGCGGTTAAATAAGCTATTAATCTTACTGTGACAACTGTTGGTTTTCACAGAAGATACCATGCCATATTTGTTCAAGTGTGCTGCATGTGACTCATAACTGTTCTTGTGCTCTTGGCTACATCCCAGCTCTTTGCCAGAAGTAGCCTTTCTAGACATTTGTATCAAGTTGGATTTCCTCAGCTGGATCGCAGTGCTATAGTGCTTTCCCTAATACAGTAATATTTTCAGCTCTGAAACAGGAACCTTGACAGGCTAACTGCAGCTTCTTTTCTGCCCGAGGCTCAGATGTTTGAGCAAGCATAGCAGACAGCAATTTTCAGAGTTTGTTAGCAATTTAAACTTGCATAAAGAGAAATTTGAATGCATTATGAACATTTTAAGAAAGTATCATTTTCAGTTATGCTTTGTATGATTACAGTGTCCTTTATCCAAGAAGGAAATCACTTGGAAAGAAATAAAATAAAAAAATGGAGACCTTAGATGTCCTACAAATTAGGAGGGTGTTCTGTACTTCCCCCCCCACCGCTTTTGACAGGCACAAATTGTGAAAAATAATTATCCTAAATGTACATCAATTGAGAAAAAATAAGCTAAACCTTCCCCACTGTGACCAACCTTCAGACTAACCACATATAAATTGTTGATGACAAAACCCTTGGTTTCTTAATGTTTGCTTGGGAATTTTGCATCTTTTATCTGTAGCTACAGGAGGTTCCCAGTGCAAAGGACTGAATGCAGTTTGCTGTACAGTAGGCCAGGGATGTGAACGTTGCAGAGTGGTATTTTTACATAAAGCAGCACAGGCTTTTGAAAAAGTGCCATTTTTAACTCCAGTGGCTTGAATTAAGCTTTGAGGAGACACTGTCCACTAAGAAAAGAGCCATCGTTTAGCCTGTGTCCTGAGGATAGCAGACTCCTGCCTGTGGAGTAACCTGAGTCAGTTTGCTACTTGAACTTAAGGGATACTGTTGACATGTATGGGGGAATATGCCTTGTTCTCCAAATATAAGAGGACCTGGGCTACCAGAATATAGATTTTGTTTGTTTTCTCAGATGGATGTAGGGATAAAACCTGGCTGAGTGCTTATGCTCTTCCCTTTCTCAGTAACAGAGAGGGCTACATTACCAGGTCATATCTGTGGAATGGAGCTGTTGGGTTGTTCCCCTCTGCTACAAAACAAAAACTTTTTTTTCTGTTCTTGTACTGATTTTCAGTGCCTCCATTCTTCTTCCAACATCTGGACCACATTGGCCGGCGGGTAGACCACTATGAAAGGCCTGAGCTATCTCTGGGATCATATGAATATGTTGCTACTTTGGATTACTGCCGAGTGAGTATCTTCAGTGTGCAAATTGTTATGATTTGATGCCAGCACAAACAGAATCCTATAAATACCTACCTTAGAGTAAGCATGCTTAGAGGCTGAAATATCAGTCTGGGAACATTTTAGAAAATGTGCAGATGTGGAGAATTTAAGCTTACAATAATATGATTTGTTCTTTTGTGTGGAGTATGAATATGAGCCTAGCAAGTAAGAGTAATAAGCAGTGCATCAATGTCCTGGATCACAAGTCCTCAATTGGGATGCTGGTTTGGTCCTAGCAAGTGTGTAGAAGATGTTTTGGGAATACAGATCAAATTCTATTGCACTGTTGCATTTTAACACCATGTCTTCTGTTAATTTTGAGGACAGGCATACACCTAAATTGCCTTCTCAGTGCAAACCTTAGCATGGGAATTTGAATCTTTTCCTGACACGTAGTTTTAGTGTTCTGACCAGTAAGTTATAGTGGAATGGGTTCTGTTTCCTAATACTAAATTACTTAAAAACTTGTTCCAAAGCCCACTCAAGCCATTGGAAATGTTTGTAGTTGATTTTATTAGAGAGCTATATTTGACAATTCCCATAGCATAAATTAGTCAAGCTTTTTGAATTTCCTTACAGAATTTTCCAAAATTCCCAGTGTGGCTTCATCTGCCTGCACTACAGATGTATTTCTTGGTTCTTGCTGAAGTCAGGTAGAATTGTCTTTCTGTCAGTGGAATGAGTTCATGGTAATATTAGGAGAGTAAGTAAGTTGAATCTGACAAAGTCTTGAAGTGTGTGCCAGTAACTTCCTCAGGTGATCAAATTCTTGCTGGTATGAATTAATGAACTGTTGTTGTTCAGTTCTGCTTTCTCGCAGGGATACTGCTCTAAAATCCAATGAAATAGCTGAGATTGCTTCTATGGATTCCATTGAGATCTGGGTTAAACCCCAGATCACAAGATGGCAACTCAGTGATAGTAGTGGGCATTACATGTGTAGCATGAGGGATACCCAGTTACATGCAGCTCCATCAGTGTTGGTTCAGCTTTGCTGATTTCTGCAGCTAGACTTTCGAAAGCGTGTGTACTAAGTAGCTTTGTGCCAGCTTTAGTTCTTCTCTCCTCTGGAGTTGTAACCCTGCATGATACATTCACCAGCACAGTGACTTTTGGCATATAGTTCAAATCAGGGAGTTTCTGTGATAAATCATCCACTGTGGTTTGTCTTCATTTTGTAAAAGCCTGTTTCACAGATGAAGTAGAATGTTAGAAAAAAAGAATTTGTTACAAAATTAGCACACACAGTGGAAATGCTAAGTTTTAGAGAAGTTAACATTAAAGTTAGAAACGTTTAATTCTTTTGTAAATCAGTTTAAGACCAAAACTGAAAAATCATTTCCTTTTGCGCTTATCAAATGACAAGGATGAACAGCTACAAAAAATGTTAACAAATAACAGCTGTTCTGCATTATTGTGCTCCTGCTAAGCGGATGTGGCAAGAGCACAAGTTCTCATTTCAGCCATATATTTGTCAGAAATTATGCAGGGATTCTTTACAAACAGCAGCGTGCTATGAGAAATTTCATAGTGTTTGATACGGTTTATGAAACTAGAATCCAAATGCAGAAGACAGAAGAGCTTTTAAAAATACTGTCTGGTTTTAGTTGACAAGAGTTAATCTTGATTTACATGATTCATATGAGGTGAGATCAAGGGTATAATGATTAGCGTTAAGTGTTCCGAGACTACAGTAAGTCATAATTCAAAGGACAGACGATTTTTTTCTTACACAAAGTTTTCTGAAATCTATTTGTTGCAAGTGTGGTTGGTTACTGGTCAGAAGTCTTTACATGAAGGCTATGAAGCACCGTATGTAACAATAATGGAAGGGTTGTCCTGAGATCAACACCAACTAATAACTGCATTGTCTCAGTGACGTAGGCTTGCCATAAGACTAATATCACTTTTCCTACCAATGATGGTTACTGTTGCTGTTTACGCTCTGTATGATCTTCCTCTCCTGGGTCCATCTGTAAGCATGACATGGCTTTATTTAAAACTAAAACCAAAACCTTCATCATCGTTATTACTTACAGAATATTGTGACAGTGTCTTACACTTTGTGTGCGTTTACATAAGACTGTGGCTAAGAAGCTGTGCCCAAAGGAATCCATACCAGCCCACGTCAGTGCTGTACATGTAGCAGTTGCATACTGTGAACGTGATGCTCTCATTCTTTAATTATCTTAGAGAAGATCAGCTTATTCCTGAAAACACAGTTTTCTTAGCTGTTCAGAATGCACTGGGGCATGAGAAAGCAAGACAGCCAGCCAGACAGGATGCAGATGATCAATGCTTAGTACTGCTAAGGACTGAGATATTCTATTTCTGGTTCAATACTTGGGTCGTGTTTTCTGTTTCCAGAATGGTTAGAAATCACTTAACAAAACCAAATTGAAATATTCCTATTAGCAAGATTATTGTCTGTAAAGTATGGGTACAGAAAAAATCCAAAGACAAATTTGTTTAAATAACTGAATTCCATTAGAAGATGTTAGTATTAAAACAATTAAACAGTTTAATCAACTGTTGCCCTTTAAATACTGTGTGCTAGTAGGATGCTACTTTCTGGTCATACTGTTTTATTCCAAGGGTGGACCTTACCAATCCATCATCTTTCTGTCATGATTACTATTTTTAATCCAAAGCATTCTTCAGATGACTGAACACTGTAGGTAGATTGCCTTACTGTACCATTTGCAAATCTTTTTTGATGGGGCACTGTCTGATTTTCCCTGTTAATGGTATTTTTTTCTGTAGAATAACAAGCCTCCAAATCCACCTGCTTATATCTTCATGATTGATGTATCATACAGAAATATAAACAGTGGCCTTGTTAAACTCATATGCGATGAGCTGAAGACTCTTCTTGATAAACTTCCCAGGTAAAGAAACATAAATGTGTTTGGCTTAACTTCCTGTGCTACAGTTATCATGCAGCTGTGCGTGAATTCAGAAAAGCAGGAAATGTCACAATTTACAATACAAGCATTTTTGAGGTGACAGTGACCAAATGTTAGTTTGTTAATTTTAACATTGCTGGCGATTTCTGAGAATCTTAAATTGATGTCTGGGTTTACTGCTGTGCAAACAGAAAGCATCTGTTGAACTGATTGCACATGCAGCATTCTTTCTTTTCCTTTCGTGCAGTGAACTCTAGTGGTGTTATTAATGAAATCCCAGCTTGTAGTTTTGACTTGCTGCAGTTCCCATGCTGGGAATTCACCCTGTGCTCAGATTTCTGGGAGTCCAAATTCTTTAAGAGAAAAGAATTCTTGGTATCAAAGCAATATGAAAAGGGGCACTGCTGTAAAGATGCGTGGCAGAGAAGCCTGGAAGAGGATGATTGAGAAATTAAAACTAGCGAACGGATTGAGCCAGGTGGCTCCAAGACCTCTTGCTCAGAGGGTTTTGTTCTTTTGCAGACTTGTAGCACAGCAGAAAACACAGTGTTTGCTTGCTTGAAATGTTAAGATAAACATTTTCAAATTTACTTATTCTAAACCAGGAGCCTGACTATTTAGAGATATATGGAGAAACGCATGTATAGAAATTATGCCCCCGAGCTCAGAAAGACAGGCTAACTAGTTGTGCCAGTGTGATTTTTAGACACATAACTTAAAAACATTTGAACATGTGTGATACTGAGATCTCATTTTGAGACTTGAAGAACAGTGTTGTGTGTTGGATGCACAGGTAAGCACCTGCTGTGTTTGCAACTGATCTTTAAAATTATGAAGAAAAATGGGGCTGTGCAAAGCGTGCAGACCATCACAGATCAGAGTGCTATCTGATAAAATTGTCCTAGAGGCAATGCTATGTAAGAATGCTATGTAAGAACTCTGGGACCAGTGGATGATGCAGCTATTTCTCCTGTGAGTAAGAAAGTGTTGTATGTCCTGAGTTCCTGAATGATCTCTGTTAACAGTGTCACTAAGAAAATAGTAGTGTCTGAGTGCTTGAAGTGTTCAGAAATGTGCACTCAGAAGCTATACCTCTTTGTGAGTTGTAGAGTATCTTGGAGAAATTATTTAAAATACTTCTTTATGGAATGTTTTCAATATAGAATATTGATTTCTTTTAGATCAGAGCAGCCCCTTTCTCATCCAGCATCCAGCACTGTCTCCATAGAACAGTCGTGGATTAACATTCCGTATTGACATGAATGTTGAAGATTATAGATGAGAAAAATCTTTTCCCTCCCAAGCTGAATTTTTTTTGATGAAACTTGTGAAACTAACAGAAGGTGCTACTGCACATGTAATTGGGACCAATTTTTTTTAATAGGATCACCTTTTGCTACACTGAGGGCTGTAAACCTGGTAAGGGTGCAATTAATACTAATAGCGATGCTGCTGTTAATTGCAGAGTAGCTACTGCTTAGAGGAGGGATAATTAATTACATCTTCTTGGTGGTTGTTCTCCTTGTTGCACCCGATACAGCCAGCCATCTGCAGCAGCCTTGCATTTCAAGGCCAGAGTTTCAAAGTTGTAACTGTCGTTTTTTAATTTTTCTCACAGAGAAGAACAGGAAGAATCCTCAGCAATTCGAGTTGGTTTTGTCACTTACAACAAGGTCCTCCACTTCTTTAATGTGAAAAGTAACTTAGCTCAGCCTCAGATGATGGTGGTCTCAGACGTTGGAGAAGTTTTTGTTCCTTTGCTGGATGGCTTCCTTGTTAACTTCCAGGAATCACGCTCTGTTGTTAACAAGTAAAGTACAATTATTCCATATCTGAATAAGATCTAGATGCTATAATAAGCACTTTTTCCTTTTAGCTCGTTGTCTTGGAGAGTCTGGGCAACAAGCATGTGTTTGTTGAAATGCTTCAGAAGTCATTGGATGCTTGAAGTCCTGCATTTCCCTCTCTGAGGCAAAGCGAAAGTGCTATCGACTCCACAATGCTGAATTTGGAAGCCTATTTAGGCCAGCTCTAAACCATGCATCATTAGCTGTGCCATTTCAAAAATGGGAGAGGGCTGCACCTTTGAGCCACGTTGCATGTTTTTCCTTCTATGTATGTGATCAATACCTTAATGTGTAATCCTTTATGTTGTCAGCTTTGGAGTAATGCATTTCAGTAGAACTTTAAAATTCAAAACGAGATTGAACAATGAAAATTCTTTTTTAATTTGCTTGGAAAACATGAAAAACATCTTCCTCTGTGAAGATGTGGTCTGGTACATTTTGGGGGGTTATCAAAAATACTAAGCAGTTGAGACACTCATCCTTTCCTCTTCTGTAGCTTGTTGGACCAGATTCCTGAAATGTTTGCAGACACTAATGAGAGTGAGACCATCTTTGCTCCTGTTATCCAGGCTGGCATGGAGGCGCTAAAGGTTAGAATGTTCCTCTCTGAAACAGAAGCAGCTCTTTAATTAGGACTGGGCTTGATAAGCTACCTAAATTCCATTTGCTGAAGGGCAGTAATGAGTCCTCCTACAAACTGCAATGGAAAAGAGAAAAATGACTGTTTCCAGCATTGATGTTCCATTATTCTAACAGCACATATGAACTTTCTTAGTTGAAATGAAAACACTGATGGGCACATCTGTTTTCAAAGTCTTCTCGAGGTCCCTCAAGAGTCTGTTCCATATTGGAAGGATGTTTAGGGAAAGATGGAGAGCAGGAGCTCTTTTTTGTTGTTCAGTATTTGAGAGATAAAAAGGTGTTTAGTTACTACAAAATCATTAGATACTTGGGATGTTTGCACAGATTTGTTGTCTTTGTATGTCTGAATGGCAGATTAAGAACTGGAGTAAGATACAGCAGCTTTACTCTGCCTATTCTCCAGCTTCTGCTGACTTTGTACAAAATGAGGTATTTATGACTACAGAATTGAGTGGGGAGTGGGAGGGTTTCTACTGAACTGCCAGCTTCTCACAGCATGCATACATCTGAAAATGAAACTGTGGATCAAATGCATCCCCAGCAGCTTTCTGTATGTCAGGGATAGCCCTCAAAATGCTGACATTTCCGTGGAGTTCTGCCAATAAAAGAATGACACCACAAGATTTGTAGGGACAGAAAAACAGCCAGAGTTGTTTTCCAGTCGCTGATTTATCTGTGAGCTGTGTACAAACAAATCACAAACTGTGAGTCAAGAAGTCTGTTATACCAAAATTACACAGCATTTCTCAAACTTGTTTCTTAAATATTTATTTTGTTCTTATTCATAGTAGCAGAAGGTGTATGTGCAGAACATTTGGTTACCAATTCTATCAAAATGCTCTTTCTTGGTATTTGACCTCTGCAAAACAAACTTAAATGTGAATTTTCTTTTACTGCTGCTCCTAAAAGTTGTCAAGTAAGCTTTTTTATTAAACTCAGTACTTAAAAGTGATAATTTGCTAGGATGTTCACTGTAAATTACGAATACGCACATACATGTGTTCAAGAAAGCTAATCTTGTCTCAAAAGAATGAAATGGATTCTATTGCTCTTCAGTATCAATGCATTTTTTGAAATGGTAATTTTAGACAGTTTCCCAAAAATTCCTGATGGATGTTATTAGTAATGGGTGTGTGCTCAGTCAGTCACTCTTTACAGAAGGCTTTGTAAAAGTTACCAAAAAAAGAACCTGGTGTTCATAATTAAAAACTACAATGCTTGAACTAGTAGGGGTGAAATTTCATCTCTGTTAAAAGTAAGATACTGTCTTTGATTGCATTTCTGCCATAGCAAACAAATTTCTACTTTTCCCAGAAGAATGGCATGGCGTATTTTGAGATGTGGACTAATCTTGTGCGCATCTTTAGATCTGGAGGGGAAAGAGTCCCGAAGCAGAGTAGTGTCGGTAGTCTCAGGTATTGCATTTTTAAACTAGATGTGTTGGTAAGCCTGGAGCAGGAAAAGAACAATTACTCCCTTTCCTTCTTCTTTCCTTTCACCCAGTTTAATGCTCAATGAGTTCAGTTGCCAATTAGCGATCTCAATAACAAGTGAAAAACTGTTTCTTAAATTTTGGTGGAAAAGTTTGTTACAGTACAGAGGTGCCTACGGCACTGCTGCTGTTCTCTGGAATTCAGGTTTTCCTGTCAGCAGATTGCCATCCCAGTTAGCAAATATCACTGCCTCATTATAGCTGTCAATAAGAATTGAAAACTTTGGCTAAAATTGGTATTCACTTTGTTTCTTCGTGAAAGGAGAAGTGCAGCACAAGTTCCGCTGCTTCTATTTTTAGTGTAGGTTTGAATGCAGAATCTTGTACAGGAGGGTAGTTGTCACTCTTTAAAAACATAATGACCTGAACTGAAATAAATGTATTTTCTGTTAAATTACATTTCCTTTTAATTAATTGTATCTAATTTAAAATTCTGTAGGAGAGGTACTTCTTGTACTCATTGAGATTTTAGCTTCCTATGCAGAAATTACTGTACTAATGCATCATCCAGCACATCTGTGTTAGACTGCATTATTTACTGACATAAAATTCCCAGCTTTGGGAATCCATCAAGTGTAAAGACTCCAAATGAATTATTTAGCTCTGAAGAACCTTTGCAAGAAATGCTACTGTTCTAAGAGAAACAAGAGAGTCTGAAAACTAGGCTTGTTAATCTTAGCAGTAGATTCAATGCCTATATGGGTGTCTTTGTAACAGGCTGCAGAATGTGCTGGGAAACTGTTTATCTTCCACTCTTCATTGCCAACTGCTGAAGCACCGGGAAAACTGAGAAACAGAGATGACAAAAAGCTACTCAACACAGATAAAGAAAAGGTATTTATATGTATAAAGGAAATCCTCATTTATAAAGGAAATGCAGATAATTCCACCCATCAAGTCTGCTACCTACCTGTTCAGTAAGTTAGTTCAGTAAGAATATGAAGTTTTTGATGCATATGCATATCAGTGGAACCTATGGGCAGGGGCAGTGTGGATTTATTCAGATCCACATCTTCTCACTTGAAACTTCCATCATTTTTATTTTTCAGGAGGACATTTGGATTGTGAGTGGTTGCCAACAGATCTAATGTTACTGCATTTCTGTTTTTTAATTTCTTGCAGACACTCTTCCAGCCTCAGGTGAACTGTTACGAGTCCTTAGCCAGAGACTGCGTGGCTAATGGCTGCTGCGTGAATTTGTTCCTCTTCCCAAATCAGTATGTGGACATAGCTTCCTTGGGTCTTGTCACCATGTACACTGGAGGCACACTGTACAGGTACAACAATTTCCAGGTAAGTGGTGCAAGTTCCCAACTTGTCAGCTATTAACAGCTGGGGACTGCTTGTTTTTATTTCAAAGTCTTTTTTGGCAATTTACCTGTAAACTCTTAAAGTAACCGTAGAAAATTTACTTAGCAGAAATGGCAGGTTATGCTACAATTGAAGTGCTGAAATTGTAATTTTACTTTTGCATAGATTGGTTGGCACCTTAAAATTGAATTGACTTACCTAAGTATGCTGACATCTGCAGGGAAGTCAGTTACTCTGTACCTATAGATAAAAATGCTTGCAATAAAGACCAAAACAAAGTCACAACACTACTTGTTTGTTTTAAATGTCAGGGAAATATTTATGGGAAATACGGGACTTCCCTTGTGTCAGGAGCTGAGCGACAGGAGCATTTTTTGTAAAGTGCACAAGGCTACTCTAATTCTTAAGGCCATACCATATAAACTTAGCTTGGATGGACATTACTGGAGATAGGTGTGACTGAACAGAAACTCTGCATGTCTCAGCCTGGTGATGAACTGGTGGATACTTGCACAGCTCTGTTCCTGTTAATAACGTCTCTATTAAAGGAAAAGAGAGATGTAATCCTGAAAAGATGTGATGTCAGGGAGGGGGAGTGTTGGGTTTCTGCTCGTTTGCTGCCACCCAGTGGTGAACTGCAACTGTTCATTTGCTTCACCTTTCTAGCTCAATTCTGATAGCCCACAGTTCCTAACTGACCTCAGGAGGGACATAGAGAAAAAGACGGGATTTGATGCAATAATGAGGGTTCGAACAAGTACAGGTAATGGTACCCCTTGGGAATCAAAATAAATATGAGATAAATATTTATGAGAATTCTAAGTAATACAGTGCAAGAAGTGTATACAAACTTGTAACAGCAGGCTGCCCATTTTATCTTCATTGTGTACCTTTCGGAAAGTACAGACTGAGAAAATGGCTGTGTATCCCCTTACTGTGTACGTCTATGTAAATTTGCCAGTCAGTCCTGATCATTGTGCATGCAGCCTAAAATGCAAAGCAGTCTTAGAAAAGAGTGTGGTTTGCCCAAAGCTTACACGTGTTTTCATTTTCTAAACAGTTCAAATTGAAGTAATGCTTCTGCTTTTTGACCATTAGTTCTTACTTTCAAACACAAGTATTTGGGGAGAGCATAAACACACTGAGTGGCCCAGTGAGTAATGCCAAAGGCTCTGGAGGTCCCTGAGTCACTGCGCTCCTCGATGGCCCACACAGATTCACTTCCTCTCCTACCCAATGGAGAGAAAATGCCACCAGCAAGGAAGATTGGTGGGCACTGCACCCCCGAGGCAGCACACCCTTGAGGGAAAATAGTTGGTTTTTCATTAAGTAAAATTGAAGTTAGAAAACAGTATCCTTTTTATTTGTAAATTGTAAGAGGATGTTGTGTGCTTGCTTTTTCATCTGGCTGTAGGCTTCAGGGCTACTGACTTCTTTGGGGCTATTTACATGAACAACACTACAGATGTCGAAATGGCAGCAGTTGACTGTGACAAGGCTGTGACAGTAGAGTTCAAACACGACGACAAACTGAATGAGGACAGTGGAGCCTTAATTCAGGTAAAAATGCATTGTGTCATTTACTGACACTGTGAGCAACATTTTTTGTTTTTAATATGACTGCAAAGTGTTACACTGTAGGACTGATGGGAGTGATGCATAGCGTGCACATTTGCTGGTGTTGTAGTACCACTAATAATGTTTAATTAACTCGCCAAAGAATGCTACCTTGAAATGCCAGGCTGTTTCAAAGCTAATGACACCTGTATTTCCCTTCTCATTCCACAAATGGGATCCCAGCAGTTCCTGGAAATGTAAATTGGGCAATAATTAAAACTGACCTTTCTGTGCCTGAATTGCCAGTGCTTGGGATACACTCATACCTAGCAGAAGATTCATCCTAACCATTATCAGATAATGTGAGGTTGCTGTTTACTGTTCTAGATGTTTTGTCATGACCTCATGACCTTTTGCTATTTTAATGACAGAAAATGTTTCAGCTTGAAAAGTTTCACAAAAACTGTAGAATTATCTGAACTTTTGTTTTTAAGCTCCTTAGCTTTTATCATGCTCCCATGTATACTTTATAGGTTAGCAGTTAATCCTTGTATGAATACAGCACTGTGAAACATCCACTTTGGGGTGTCTGATGTCACTTACTGGAGACCTGGTGTAGCAGCGATGATGGAAAAAGTGCTTGGTTTATGGATGTTGCACTAGGGTTGTTGAGAGTTTCATATGAGAGTTTCTTGTGGAAGATGCAGTGCAAAGCTGACCAGTTAGTTTAGCTGCAGTTGGTGTTATGCCCTGCAGGTTTTGGCTTGTATCTGCAGACAAGGTGATGAAATTAGTTTTAATTGTGGTGGTAGGAAACAAACATGTGCCAGGCAGATGCATGCAGTACCAGTGAAATGTTAGCAGTTGGGAAATCTTGAGTGCAGTTCCTTTACTTTTCATTCTTGTGAAGTTTTCCTACATGCTAACATTATATAAAGGTAGAGTTGAAGTCATAAGCAATTTCTTCAGTCATCCCTCAAATTCTACTATCTAAGACAATGGAACAGGCAAGATACAAGGGTGGATATAATAGGACCCCACTTGGGCTTACCAAGATTAGCAAGTTTTTCTTTGTCGCTTTTGACAAAAGCTAAAATGAGCAGAGTACGTCTCAGCAAGCTTCTGATCTCTGATACAGTGTGTTTTCAGCTGCATTTCTTTGGGGCATTTTTCTTGATGGCATATTCAGGTATGGTGTACAATGAAGTGGTCTCTTGTTTTCAGATGATACCAGCAGAGTGTAGCATGACAAAGCACTAAGCCTTCCCAACAGCCATCGTTATTGTCGTACTTCTAAGACTAATAACTTTATAACGCATTTACGTCTAATATATTTACATAAAATTTTGAATCTGTTGCTCCTTTGGTTCAATAGTACTGAAGCAGCACCAAAAAGCCAGGCTGTTCCTCAAAAGTAATTCTGTGCCTTTTGTAGGCGGCTCTTGCATGATGATTATTATAATTTTTATTATCATATTACGATCATAATTATATTATAATATAAATCCTATAATAGTAATAATATAAATCATAAAATAATTACGATTATTATATTGTTTATATTATGAATATTATTATTTTTGTTTTAACATTGCAATGAAAGATATCTGGCTCCTCTGTTGCAGTGTGCTGTCCTCTACACATCAGTAAGTGGGCAAAGACGACTTCGCATACACAACATAGGCTTAAATTGTAGCACCCAGTTAGCTGATGTCTACAAGACTTGTGAGACCGATGCACTTATCAACTTCTTTGCTAAGTCAGGTAAAGTCAGAATAAGTTGTGTGTTTTTTTTCTTCTCTAAGCTGGGAATGAAAGGAGGTGGAGTGATACCTAGTGGGAAGTCATTTGTAACTTGCTACTGACATCTCCCTTAAGAGCGACAACATTGAAAAGAGAACTAGATCGTAAATTTTAGATATATGTGTCCCAAAAGAAATGCCTGGGAAGGCTCTTAGAAACAGGTAATGCACAAAAGTGTATAGGCACAGTATTATTTTGTTAGAATTTTTGTTTGGTTTGAGGTGGGTTTGTTGTTGTTGTTGTTTATTGTGAAAATTAATAAATTCTCTAAAATGCTTTAAGAGTCAGAAAACAATGGCCATAGACATAAGTTTAGTAAAATAAAAATCTAGCAGAATACTTTAAAACTTTGCATTTGTCGTGCAAACAAGTAACAGAACCTGTATCAGGCTCTTCTGTTCTTCTGTCTTTGTAGCCTTTAAAGCTATCCTAAGCCAACCACTGAAGGTTGTCAGAGACATCCTGGTCAGTCAGACAGCACACATGCTGGCGTGCTACAGGAAGAACTGTGCCAGCCCTTCAGCAGTGAGCCAGGTAAAGATGTCCCCATGTCAGCCCCTCTTTGCAACAACCACGCTTGCACTGCCAGCAGTACCAGAAAAGAATATTTCAGACATACATACTTTTTGTTTTCTTTCAAATATGATGACAGTGGGATGCAGTGGTAGCAACATACAGAGGCTGTTGTTTTGGGGTGAATGACAGTGCTGCAGAGGAAGGTGACAGCTGTACCACAGAGATGCCAAAGCCTTTTCTTCCTGGTAGAATTACATGCTAACTCTTAGAAGCGTTCACTTCTTTCTTCCATTCCTGCAACGATTGTAGCGGACTGATTTTTTGACATGTAACAACTGTTACTGTCAAAAGACAGAGATAACCCAGTTAGCATCCTGAATTTGCGTATAGATATATCAAGAATGCACTACTGCTAAAAATCTGACATTGAGACAGCAACATACTCCTACCAAAAAAAAATCTATGGTGATTAAAATATGACTTCTTAATTCCTTTATTTACCAGCAGGCAGTAAGAAGCTGTGGGTCCCTCATTACTTTTGTTCCACACTACTTGAAAATTCTCTCAAATGAAGACACCTCTTATTTTCAAATGCTGTCACATTTAGTAATCTACTCACTCTTTTTACAAATTCAGAGCATTTGGGGGTGTCACAAAACTAACAAACAGTAAGGTAAGGTGCTTTCAAATCCTTTTAGCAGCTGTTCCTGATACAAACCTTGTTCCAGTTCAAAGGACAATCCTCGTCTTTGACTTGAACTGAACTCAAATCCCATAAACCTTCAACTTCTGTTTTTCTTACAGCTCTCACAATACTTCGTCTCCCTTCTGGATTTTGAGGTGCTGCGAAAGTGGCTTCTTCCTCACTTTTCTGAACTTCAACTGGCAATTTTCTACTTCAGTACTGAGGTTAATAGCGAAGGACTCCCAACAATATTGGAGGCTTTCAATTTACACTGTTTCCTTCAGTCTCCTTTAAACTATGTTTTCCTATTAGGCTTTTGTGTTCTATTTAATACTTCTAATAATCACAAGCCTGGGCAATGAATTATTTCTCTCAGTGAAGACCAAATGTTAGAACACCAGTGAGGTACTTATTGTGAAAGAAAACAATTAAATATAGCTTGAAAGACCAGCTGTCATTCCCCAGCACATGGGAGATATTAAATAAAAGCCTCCTCTGCCTCTCAGCTCATCCTTCCAGACGCAATGAAGGTGCTGCCAGTGTACATGAACTGTCTGCTGAAGAGCACTGTGCTGACTGGCAGACCAGAAATTCCAACTGATGAGAGGGCGTACCATCGACAACTGGTCATGTCTATGGGAGTAGCTGATACACAGCTGTTCTTCTATCCCCAGCTTCTGCCGATAGTAAGTATGTTATATGCACATCTGTTAGCTGTCAGTAAAACTGTTTTCATTTTAAACTGCTGTGATGTTTTCAACTGTAAAGATGTAGAAGATTTTCTCTGTGCCACGCAGCTGTTACGTGGCCAAGCTGGATTAGTTTTTTTAAAGGGAAGTAGTTGCTAGCTGAACTAAAAGTAGGAGGGAAGAACCCCTAGTTTAAAGAAAACAGGGAAGTAACATGATCAGTCACTGCCATCAGCATCCTCTCATAACTCCACTGTACGCTTAACATGAGCCTGGTTTTTGACCTGGCTAATAAAAAGTGCCAGCTTTAGTCAAGCTCAAGCCTGGTGTGCTCGAGCTTCATATTTGTGGAGAGGTGCTCTTTAGCACCTAGTGTACGAATTGAAAAAGAAGTGACTCCTGATTTCCTCCATCTGGAAAGGAACCACTAAGGTGTAATAAACCTGTTGTTATTACTTTTCAATGTCTAGTTAAAGCATCGCTCACCTTGAAGTCCCCATGTTTGCAACTTACGCACATTTTGCCCTACAGCACAACCTGGATTTGAAGAGCGACGCTGTGCCAGCTGCAGTGCGCTGCTCTGAGGAGCGTCTCTCAGAAGGAGGGGCCTTCATTCTGGCCAATGGTCTGAGCATGTTCCTGTGGCTGGGGGTCAGCACGCCCCCTGAACTCATCCAAGGGCTTTTCAATGTGCCGTCTTTTGCACACATCAGCGCAGAAGCTGTGAGTATATGGAGGGAAAACAGTCCATTTTTCAGAACTCATGATTTTGTAAGACCAGGCCACTGATTAGAGAAACGACTGAGGGAACTTGGAGCATTCATCATTCAACTATAAGCACAAATGGGTGCCAGCAGAAGCTGTTAAGACACCAAAAGTAATGCATAAAAGCTCATAAACTATCTCTCTGAACAATTACAAGACAGCTTTCACAAAGTTTTCAGAGAATCTTAAACTTATGTTATGACATATTAAAATCCTACTGAATATGCATTGGTGAAACTGCAACAAAGCATTCTATGGTAGCTAAAGCTTCTCCTGTAGCCTGAACTTTTCCTGATAACGAATTTTAATGTAGTGATTATTTTAAACTGAAAAATGGCTTAAAGACTGATTGGTTATTCTAGAAGCTTTCCCAAAGGAGATAAAGCATTACCCAGGTTAGAATGACACCCGCAGTAATACACATCATAAATACCAGCAGCCAGTCTTGTACAAATTGTTAATGCAACTGGAAAGTAACAACCAACCTGTGATGCTTCATTCTAACAGACATTACTGCCTGACCTGGCCAATCCCTACTCTAAGAAAATTAAGTCAATAGTGGAGCACATCCAGAACCAGAAGCCCTACACTATGAAGGTAAGAGTTTGCTCAGTGTCAGCCTGTTCCTCACAGCTGTTCAGAAGAACATTACAAGCTGTGATAGATTTTCTTGTAGTTGTGAAAGGCTTTTTACATACCAGGAATCTCCAAATATGCCACTGAATTCCAGCATGCATTCTAGGCAGAAGCATCTCAAATGTACTTAATTCAATAACTGTTACTTAATTATCCATTCAGGATTTTCAGAACTACCCTGAAAAGTCAGTTTTATTCTGCAAACCTTCCTTCACACTGGCTCTTGGTTGTACATAAGTTGCTCTCCTGTGTTTCTAAGGACAGCTACTGAAATGTCATTACCAACGTACTGTTATTTTTTGTCTTTTTTCCTTCAGTAGCATTCCACAGTAGGTAGAAGAAAATGGTACTGCTACTTACTGTGATGGTATCCTAGAAATATGTATGTCTCTCTTTTCAGCTGATGATAGTGAAACAACGGGAGCAACCAGAGATGCTATTCCGGCAGTTCCTCGTAGAAGACAAGAGTATTCATGGAGGAGCTTCTTACGTGGATTTCTTATGCTGTGTTCACAAAGAGATCTGCCAGCTTCTCAATTAAAGAAACTTGAGTATATATAATTTGCCAGTTACTTTCCAATTTTGCAGGAGGGACAGTCATCGGTGCCTGAAGGCTGGCCCACAACTTCAGTGTACCCAGACATTCTGCTGTGCTTTACCAAACCTTTTTTGTGCTCTTTTTGTACAGTTTCATTCCACTCAGCCACTCACCAAATATTTAGTTTACTTATTAAGCTGTAGAATAGAAGTTCTGCACTCAGGTATTAATCTTTGAGGAGTCCTGACTCTAAGCTGAATTGCCAGATTTCAAACTGTCAATGCTTAAGAGCGTTTTCAAGTATCAAAATATAATTTAGAAAATAACTATTTGAATCTATTACTAGCCGTAAATCGTTTAAGAGCCAGGAAAGATGCTAAAAATCCACACAGAAGGAAAAAGTGGTAAGATAATGCTTTTTCTAGAAGTGAGAGCACACAGCTGAATCAGTTTTGCAGCAGTCCTGCAGTTCAGTTTGAGTATTTCAAAGTCCTGCGTGTAAAACTAAGAACTCTAGAAAATAATTCCCTTCTTCCCAGAAAGGGCAAGTATTAATTTTCAACAGAAACAGAGCTCTGGTAACCTTCTACACCCACAGGTATCCAGGACACAAAAATGTCTCTGTTTTATAACTGGACTTCAATAAGCGAGTTCAACAATGGAGCACAGGACAAAGAGCAGTCAAACTATGCTTATTCTAAGCTTGGTAGTTAGCGGCACGCTGTTATGGCACAATCCTCTAGTTTTCAGGGCAGCAATTAATCTAGCATGCTATTTAATTACATTTTCGAAATTGACCATGTTGTGCTTTAGCACATTCGTTAACTGGAATAACTCCCCATAAAACTTAGCTAACCATCTGCTTCTCTCACAGATACAGTGGCAGGTCAACAGTGAGACGGTTGACAAGTTAACTAAAGGTGAGTTGCAGTGCTATAAAAGGAAAGCTTCATGTTTAACACCAGTCCTGTTACAGGGACTGATGAATAAATCAGTCATCACTTAGAAAAATAAATTTCTGTTACTATCAATATTTAAGGTAGAACTTAGAAAGCCAGTCTTTGGCAGGAAGAGCTGTTTACCTCAGTGCTTCTTCATGCTGTAAGTTTAAGACCAGTGCCTCTACACACAACATTTGAATTTCTCCAGACTTGAAAAGCTTGTTACAAATATCAGTATTTCACAGAAGGCAAAACCAAAATAGAACACAGCCTCACAAGAGAGTGTAAGACATGGGCCTCATAAAAAAAAAAAAGTGCCTTTGATCATGCTCGTGTCATTAACTAGTATTTATCCTTTTCATAGATAAAATAAGCAGTCCAATGCACATTCTTGACAGCTCATCAAAATAGCTGCATCCTTGTGCACTGAACAACTCTTAAAAGAAATGGATATATTACAAAAGGTCACGCACACCGAATTCAGCTGTCAAAATAAGCTCTTTGCTGGAGACATTTTACTTTGTAAAAAGTACTTGTTGCCTTTCCAGATCAGCGTACTTTGTAAAAATGACAGCAGCAACTCTGATGTGTAAAAACATAAGGAATTATTAAATATAATTATAACACATGTGTTTATTGTAAGACAATGTCTCACTTTCTTTTTTAATTTTAATGCTATCAGCCTCTCTATCAAAAGCTATCCAGTACCTCTTAAACTGTACCTTCTAAAACTGGCACCCACAACACTACAGAGGGCGGTTCTAGGACGACCAGCAAGGGTTGCTTCAGTTTGCACAACTCCTCCCCTGCCGTTCCTCCCATACGCACAAGACAACATAATCACCACACTGACCAGGAAACAAAGCAAAGTTAAAGGCACAAGAGCAATTAGTTCCTACAAAGCAGAGACAACGTTCTGGCACAACCAGCAATTAGTGAATATTAAGGGTTTGACCAATGTAGCTCATCTTCTCCTACTCAAGGAAGCTTACTCTGGATTGTAGACTTCTCAGTGTTTAGTTCCTCTGTCAACATCAAGCTCAGTCTATGGTAGGAATACTCAGTGGAAGGCTGAAGTGTCTCTCCAATGCCAAAAATAAAAAAGCAAAATAGCAAGCCTGGTTAAAAAAAATATGTCAAGTAAACCTTTAGAGATAACACAGTAACATTTAGGTGAATCACAGAATGGTAGAGATGCTGGGATTCTCATAGATAAAGGCACTGTAATTAGGGAAGTGTCTGTACTCAGCTACTGAGCAAAGAGTTCTTTTCAGCTAAAGCTTTTCAATTCTAAAAGCTAAAGTTCTTTTCAATTAAAGCGTCCCCCCTCAGAGGCAGGGCAAAGCTGCTCACACAGTTTGCTCCCACCACAGCCACGCTTGCTTAGAATCTAATCCCTTACCTTATGCCATTCAGTTTGCTGATCGCCAGAAGACCGCATTTGTACCATCACTGTCTTCTCTTTGGTCAGTTCAGGCCACATAAATAACAGCAAGAACTTTAGGACACCTGTTTTACATCTACAATTCTGGAGCAAGGTGTCAAACATATTTCCATATTGCATCTTATTTCAGACCACAGCAGCAGCAAATTCACCACCACTGCTGTAGCTAGTAGCAGGTTTACCACTTCCCCAAATTCCACTTGATATTACCAACATAACTGAGATATATGTACAAAATTAGTAAACAAATAATGTTTAGTGATAGTACCTTTGCTAGGCAGTGGAGCAGAGCACCTAGTATCATTCCCATGTGTCATCCGCATCATGTAACAGAGTTAAGAGGTGAAGGATTATTCTGTCTGAACTTGCCTTTAAGGAAAGGAATATCTGGTTGTGGTAGCACAAAAACCAGGCAATGGTTCTCTGCTTGCTTGCAGCAAGCGGGTCAAAAGGGCACAAGAGCACCATGGAAACACAGCAGGCAGTGGCATCCTACCCCTGCCCGCTGCTGACCTGTCTGAGCTGCTTCTAATTACAGACACTCCCAAACTACACTATCCTCAGCATCACCCCCATTAAAAGGGGAAGGTTTCAGCCAGGCTGAACACCAGAGTTGTGCACCTACATTCAACAAACCTTTGTTTCTCTTTCATAAGATAGAGACACCAACAAACCAACGTAACTGTGCTAACTCTGCCTTTCTCTGAACAGACAGTCAATAAGAAGAATGCGAAACTGAGCTCTAACAGTTGCTGGTTTTGAGTATTTTTTGTAGAACTAGGCACTGGCTAAACCAATTATTTTAAAGCTATGAAAAAATGAGATGTGATACATTAATCTGTAAAGTTAGTAAAAATGTATTCATTATATTAAAGTGCACTTTAAAAACTACTGGCGTGGCAATCCAGTGGTATGTATTAAAGAAAATCTTTAGTATGCTCTTTGTGCACAGACTGCCCAAGAATGCAGACATCTTCCCTGAATTTGAAAGAGGCAAAAACCGAGCCATTCCTTTGGCTGCCTGGAAGAATCACAGCAGTGTCTATATAATCATGAGACAACCCTGTTTATTTGGTTTCAAGCACAAGGAAGTAAAAGCTTTCAAAATTACACTTCAAAAGATATTTATTTTAGATACTGCTCCCTCCATCCCCCTTTCTCACAACTTAGATGAGCGTAATGGAAGCGTAAGTAAGGGAGAAACTTTTTTTGTTTGAAAGATGCAGAATAGCTTTTCCTCTTAGAGTACAACTGTCCTTTATACGGGGCTTGGGTGTCCAAGAAGTTTGTGTTTATGTCATGATACAATGGGAAAACATGTACAGGTTTCTACCCTAGAAGAGTTTAATTTGCCAAAAGAAAGCAGAGTTCCTTCACGATTAGTGTGCAGTTTTACTTCATCTGTTCAACACAAATCAAGTAGAAAATCTAGTGAGACACCAGTACTGTCACTGGCGCCCACATCCCCATTCTGTACTGCCACTGGCTATTTTCCAGGCAATACTCAACATGCTACATGTAATTCTACACAAAAAAATGCTCTAAAAACTTCATAAAGCAAAATGAATTCTATGCCCCATTAGGAACACATCCATATCACTTACCTATGTACTTAAAGCCTGTGGAGAGAGCAGGAGTTCATACGCAGAGCTGCTATCCAGAACAAAGTTTTAGCAAGATACAGGTAGGTGCACACCCCATTCATCAGAGCACCAGCCTGTCACATGCCGCCACTTTCACCTACACTAAGGTGTCACAGTGACTGACCTACCACCAAGATACGTCTTCATGTGACGTACAGCAGCTCCTGCAATGACCATGAAAGTTGTTACACACACATCTAAGTAGTGCAATTCTAAGCTCTGGCATAAGTGTTAAGATTACAACACTCAAAAACTTTAGTTAATCATAGCTAGGACTTGTTTTTCCCTCTCTTTCTTTAATTGCTACAGTAATCACACTCAAAATTATTCCACGTTTTTCCACAAACTTACCTTGCTTTTTCAACTATGGAAACAACCCCGTTACATGCAGGTTAGTAAGCTTTCCTTGCCTTTATTAGGTTGACCTTCACCCCATTATATTAGTCGATTCCCACTACAGTAATAAAGGTGCCAACATCACCCTTTGGGTAGAAGAACATACACAGAAACAGGGGTCTCATTACCTGTCACTTTCAGTTACTCAATATGTCCTTAAAAGGCCATGTTCAAGAAACAAACGTATGTGTTCAATGTTTCAGTGAGCTTCATCTTTAGAACACGTTCTGGATACTTCTGTCCCCAGCCAAGGATTTCAGAAAATCACAGTGCTCTAAAATTAATTCCTTGACTCGATGACATTTAACCACCATTTTCCGAGCAAAACTGTTTGCAACCTAAATTCCACTGACTAAAGCACCTATGAACAAGCCCGCGTTCACGGTACTGCCTAGGGAAAAATCTTAAAAAATTCTAAAAGCACTGCCTACTAACTTACACAGATCTCCTGCATCTCAACCAATTTATCTTAACTGACCATGTCAGAATGGAAGGAATCCTTAGGTTAATGGCTGGATTTGCACACAATCGTTAGCAGCTGACTGGTATTCTGAAATCCCTTTCAAGCTAAATGCTAAGACATTTCACGTATCTTGTCAATGTAATTGTCAGCTCCTTCACCTGATTTATACAGGGGGTATATAGCATATTTCAAGTCCTATAAGCCTCTTCCAAAATGGAAAGACATGACAACATCAAGACAGGCATCCCAAATCAGATTGGTGGCTTTATGTTCTCATTAAAACTAGAAAGGAAGAAATTTGTTAGGCTTTTTATCTTCAAAGATAATGTGCTGAAATTAAGGCAACTGCAGCAAATGAAATATTCATCAGTTCCTTGACAATGAGTGTTATCCTATTTCTGTTAAAGCATTAGAACTGAGAAAATAACTGAAAACTTTTTTTTTTTTTCAAAGCTTTTCATCTCTAGTCACAACTTCAGATGTGGCCCAAATTAACAGCAATTTAAAAAAGCAACCATGCGTTTTTCACTGTGTTAAGTGGGGGAAGAAGCAGCAGTTACTCACTACAGCATTTTCTATCATCTCCACAATCCCAAATATGCTCCATTTATGTGCTACTTTGTTACCTTTAGAGGCAATCCACAGTTGAAACACCACCTTCAGAATACTTCCAGTGAGCAACTTTTCTTCAATGATGACATGTAGAAAAACTTATTTCCTTCCCAGTCACCTCAATTAGAAAAGTAAGGAAGGCTGCTTGTTAACAATTGCAATTCCTTTGTGAAGATGGGCCAGCCAGATAAATAAAATCTACCGCTCACGTATCACACATCACAAGTCTCAAGCAACATCCTGGCTTCTGCAAACTAATACAGAAACAACCCAGCTACGTTTTTCTGAGTCTCATCTTCAGTGCAGGCCATACCAAGCACCAAATGACCACCTGTGGACATAGAAGAAAATGGTAACTCTCGTTTCTCTCTTAGAATTCTAACTAAGGAAGAAAAAAAGATCCGCCACTGGTACACAGGCTGCCTTTTTAAGGTTAAGTGTCTTCAGTATTTACGTTCTCAGTAAGGACATCATTAGGGCAAAAATCAAGAAGAAAATGTTTTCTTACTGCAGCATAACATCTATCAAGTGCTGCTGTAAGCAGCGTTTGGCAGACTGCTGTTAAAACACACCCCCTCCTCCCAGTTCCAGCCACTCTTCAGCTTTCCAAGTCTAACAGCAAGAAACAAAACATAAACAATAGGTGAATTTCATTTATCCTTTAACAGCCCCTTAATAAATACACCATCAAGGCTGTGAAGTTGACCAGACCCTACAAAAATGTTCATGCTAAGATTTCACAAACACTTGGTGCCTCCTCTTTTCTAACAGTAGATAGGAAACCACAATAAAACTTACTTATTCCAAAAACCTTAAGAAAGTAAACTCACAAAATATTAATATTTCAACATTAGCTTTGATAAACAAGTTTAATAATTCACTACTGTACAGAACAGTTACTTTAAAGTTAGACTTCAACAGATAAACATTTTGAGACTTAAAATCCAATTTTCCAAAATCCATACCTACAAATTGTAAGACTTCAACAGCCAGATTTGTTCTGTCTGCCAAGTGTTGCTCTGGAAGTTCGGAGTTGCAGTTTTGCTAAAAACCAGTGCTGTACTGTACATACCAGATCGCTTTC